GGTTTAGCGTTTAGGGGTCAGGGTTTAGGGTATAGGGAGGCTTAGGGACATGGGGTTGAACGTTTAGGGCCCGGTGAAGGGGTCCCATTTTAAGGATTCTTTGTCTACATCCCCAGGGATGCCTGTCGTTTCACTCCTAGTAATCTGCCCCCTAACATTTAACAAGCCAAGCCGTAAGTTGGGTCAACCCTCCACCCAGTCGTGGGTGCCACACAGGACTGTTGTATGTACATTAAGGCCCTTTTAACCTCCATATTTAGGTCCCATTACTGTAGGGGGATTGACCTAACCCCCAGGATTAAAGCTGCTTGCCGTTTGCATTCAGCTGCGGTGAAGGACCCAGGGCTCAGGGCGTCATCCAAAAACGGACAGGGTGTTTGTGTCAACCGTAGCAGTGCAGAGCTACCTGGAGAGACTGCAGCCACAAAGCAAGATATGCGTTCTTGATAGCTACCGCTAACGGTTTACAGACCAAGCACACCACGTCAACAAGACGTACCCTAACTCCAACCCATAAACCCTAAACCCCTAGAACCTAAACCCTGAGCCCCACGCTCTAAACTCTGCACCCTAAACCGTAAGCTCTCATCCCCAAATCCTGGACACCCAATCCTTATCACAGGTGCTGGAAGCGGACCTTTCCTTGCCAGTTCCAGCCAGAAGCATGAGCTCTCATTCGGACGCCAGCACCGTTCCTCGTAGGATTTAGGGATTTGTTTTAGGGTTTTGGGTTTCAGGTCCAGGGTTCAGAGTCCAGGATTTGGAACCCTAAACCCTAAACCCTAAACCCTAAACCCTAGGCTTAGGGATCAGTCTTCGAGTTGTGGGCCTACGCGTTTAGGTTTAGGCTAGGGTCGAACCTTAAGCCCTAAACCCTATCTACGGCATGACGTGGTTCAACATATTTGGGAGTTTCTCTAAAACGCCTCTGAGCCCGTGACCCCATGCATCCCCAGTGTCCGTGAGGTAAACCCTAAAACCCTTTTAGGGTTTAGGGTTTAAACCCTAAAACCTCTAAACCCTAACGTTCAGGGTTCAGGGTTAGACCCAAGAAGCGTTCAGATATCAAGGGCAGTTGTAATGGGGTCCTTGGGTTGCGTGGCGTGTAGCGGGGAGGCCTCAAATCTGGAGGCCTAGTCTAGATGCCATGTAGTTTCCAGTATTCGTCCTTCACAACCCTCATCTAGAGATAGTCAGTCATAATGTAGACCCCTGATTAGTAAACCCCCTCCCCTTAACAGGGGCTATAATAGGGATGCTAATATTAAGGCCCTTAAAAGGAGGAGGTGTATTAGTCAGGGGTCTACATTAGGTAGTAGAACGTGACCCCGAAAACCCTATTAACCACACTTGCCAAACACTGGAAAGTGCGAATGGGAGGGGTGTTTCGAGTGTCTCAGCCTAGCTTATTGGGTTTAGGGCAGGGGCTTCGGGAATTGGAACATAATGTGTAGGGCTTAGGGCTTCTGATGGGACAAATGGGAAAGAGCATGTAGAATGAAATGGAACCTAGGTTGTTGAGACCTACGCAAATAGAATAGAGTTTGGGGAATAACATACCATGGACATATGAGAAGGGACTAAGGGAAGGGCATTGTCAGTTATTTGAGCTGGGGTTCTACACAAATCATGAAGGCTTAGAGTTTAGGGTATAGCAACCAAAGGGTCGCAGGAGGCGCTTGCGTTTCAACACCTTCCCTTCGGGTTCCGTCGAGTAAGCAGACATCATTCTGGAAAGGTGGTCAGCCGTTGAACAATCCTGCGTGTGCGGGCAAACAATCCTTTCTGTTACGAGCGTTTCTCCAGACAAAGCGAAACTTCCGTGCATGATTCTTTATACGCCTTTTCCCTCGACAGCCCATTCCCGAACTCAACCCTAAACCCTAAACCCTAAAAACTCCAAGCCCAAACCCTGAATCCTAAAACCCCAAACCATGAGAACCCTCAACACTAAGCCCTGTTAGAATCCCAGACTTGCAAGGTCTTTCCACCAACAGCGGGTGCCGATCTAACGGAGGATGACGAGGCCAGCCTGCTCCTTACCGCCCCCAAGTCTGGGTTTGTCAGGGTTTAGGGCTAGGGTTCCCAGGGTTTAGGGTTTAGGGTTTAAGGTTTAAAGTTTAGGGTTTAAGGTTTAGGGTCTAGGGTTTAGGGTTTGGGGTTGAGGGTTTAGGGTTATGGGGTTATATGAAGTTATATGGGGATATAGGGTATGAATCTCATCGGTCCCTCGCTCTGTCAGGGGTCTCTAGGCTTAGACACGCAGGGGCCTGTTTGTGAAGCTCACAGCAAGATTCGCAACCACCATCACATGTTCCCTTGCAGTGCACTCGGGCTCTCTCTTCTTTTTCGCGCATTCGCAAACTGGGGTTCACAAGTAACAGCAACAGGATTTCTGCTGTTCAGCGCCTTGACTTTGCCACCGCGCACACTTCATTTCTCCCTGGGCGGGTTCGGGAGGGTCAAAAAGAAATCTCCAGCTACAAGTCACGCAGGACGCAGCTGGTACAATACAGTAAACATGACTTACTGCTTGCTTCGACATGTTTGACATCTAGTGTCATGCCCAACTGCATGCTTGGGCCTGACACATGCTGCCGCACAACATGTGTTGACATCACTAACGCACTAACATCTCTCATTATAGACTGCATCAGCATTACACACAAAACAATTCGGGACGTCTTTCATGCGACACACGCATTAGCAAGACTGCCGATTGCCTCATAAAACGCTATTAGACTCCGCAAGCTGCGCTAACTGCTAGCTTATGAATCTCATCGGTCCCTCGCTCTGTCAGGGGTCTCTAGGCTTAGACACGCAGGGGCCTGTTTGTGAAGCTCACAGCAAGATTCGCAACCACCATCACATGTTCCCTTGCAGTGCACTCGGGCTCCCTCTTCTTTTTCGCGCATTCGCAAACTGGGGTTCGCAAGTAACAGCAAAAGGATTTCTGCTGT